AAAATGATTATAAATAATAACCTGATCCGTCGAATGCGTCATTACTTTTGTGGTGACATGATTATTATATCTTCAATGTTGTTTATCTTTTGTTTCCTTAACTTTCTGCTTCCATTAAAAAAAAACAAATAGCCCTTTTAAGGAATAATATACATCCAATTATGTACATGATTGTAACTAAAGTGGTCTATCGAGGAACAATGTCTGTCCTATATTCTGTAAGAGGTACAAGAAAGGGGCTTTTCCTGGTAGCCGATCGAGAGCCGATGTTTGGGTTATGTTATCAGGAAAGGCGCCTTAGGAAGGTCAACACGAGCGATGTGGATGAGATTGTAACTGGATGACAAACTGGATTATTATATGCTAAGACATGACGATGAAAGGTTATATATAAAAAGTCGATGTATGGACTATGAAAAATATATAGTGTCATTCGTTTTGAACCTTGAACTGTTTAGTTTAATTTCAACCCTTATAAATTCAGGAGTGGGATTGGTTAATCCATGTGCATAAAAAGTACATTTAATAAGTTAGTGACAAGTGTTTAAAGGCAATTAAAATGGACAAACATAAAAGTAGTAATTCTCGACAACAAAGATCGCAAACTCCGGATGGACACCTCCCTGAAATACCATCCACATCAAGGCGACTACCGTCATCGGGAGATTCCACATCTTCAGAGGGATACACCCCAGAAAGATCACCCCTATCCATGAAAAGTCCGGAAAGAGCGACCAGAAGTACGAGTTCCAAAAGAAAACACAAAGAGAAAAGTTGAAAAAGGTCTTCAACATATGAAAGGGAAATCTCGAGACAAAAGAAGAAACTTGCACGTCTGGAAGAAAAGATGAGTACTCTTTTAAATGATAGACTCTCTACAATTAATGTTCCGACTCTTAGTCTAGCCGTAAATGAGGCAGTCATTCCAACTTTTGATCCAGGTGTCGGTTCATTAAGTGTATCGGAGTGGTTAATTAAAGTAGACGGACTTACAACTTTTCATAAATGGGACGAATTAAATTAGCCACAAGTCGGTTTCGGGGAAGCAGCAAATTATGAACCCAGTTATAAACAAAATTTGAGTGATTTTTGTTTCGAAAAGGTGGCAAAACTAAATAAACAAAATTTGGAT